AAATCCCAGTGCCATTATCATTTGTCAACCACATTCAGAGGGTCTAGTTTGATACCATGTTCGTTCAGTCCCAGTCTAGCTGGGGTTGGTGAGCTCCCATCAGCTTAGGCACACAGTATCCCAAACCTTCATGATTCTGACTTCCTTGCTCATATTCTCCCTCCTTCTGATCTTCAACTGGACCTTGGGAGCTCAGTCCAGTGCTCCGATGTCGGTCTCTGTCTCCATCTGTCATCGTAAGAAGGTTCTATGGTGATATTCAAGATAGTCATCAGTTCTGACTACGGGACAATCTGACTTCTCTTGTTATACCTCATGATAATCATGACCAGTAACTGGAAACCAAAACCCCCAAAACCCTTCCTAAGCAAGACACCTTCATTTACAAATTACTCTGAAGGAAGTGTCTGTTGTGTTAATACTTGAGTGGGAAACTGTATGTCTTAAAGACATATTTGTTGTACAATATAACTTATATTGCTGTCAGACATTAACCTTCTGCACAGACGCACTGATTCTCAACCTGTGGTTCATGGCCCCATTGGGTATCACACATGAGTTATCATGCATGTCACATTTTTACATTACAATCCATAATATTAGGAAAATTATAGTTATAAATTAACAATGAAACTAATGTTATGGTTGTCAGGGTCATCACAACATGAGGAACTGTATCACATGGTTACAGCATCAGGGAGGTTGAGAAGCACTGGTCTAGAAGAGAGTGCCGTGTGTAGTGTGCTCGTACATCAGGTAGCAGTACTTGATTTGTTCTCAGATTTGAATGTCTGAAGCTCCCAGGTTCCTCTGGAGAAGCACATGACTTCTGAGTGATACCAGAGATGATAGAAATTAATATTTATGGACACATCCTGGCTCTACTTTCTGCTTTTTTCATTGGTTGGAGACAGAAATGTTAGCTGTAAAGTGGTTATTTCTGGAGAAGGCCTTCCTAAGGAAACAGAAGACATTCTAAAGTACTGTAACATGAGGGCCAGCTTGTTGGGGTTTCTGTCCTTGCCCGGTACCCCACAGTTGGCAAGTCCCAAAGAAAATCTCACAGAGTCTACATTAGGTTATAAACTGATTGGCCCATAGGTCAGGCTTCTTATTAGTCCTTGTAACTTATATTAACCCATTATCATTATCTATGTTAGCCACAATGCTCAGTACCTTTTCCATTGGGGCAGCTTACATCTTTCCTCTCCGGTGGTCTGGGCAGAACTGCAGAGGGAGCTTCCTGCTTTCTAGAATACTCCCAGTCTCTTTGCTCCACCTCTACTTCCTGTCTGGCTTTCCCGCCTATACTGCCTGCCTGGCCAATCAGCGTTTTATTAAAATATGATTGACAGAATACAGACAATTCTCCCACACCATTTATAGATAGTTTATAACCTAGGCCAGCTCCCTTCCACACAGCCTTCCACATCCTTCCCTGTGTGCGCACAAAAGGAGAAAAAAATACAAGCCTCTTTTCCTCCCATTTTTTCCTTTTCCTTTTCTCTCTCTCTTCTTTCTCTTTTGCACTCACTACTTCAGAGTGAGATGCCTACATACTCCCTCAGCAGTCGCTTCAAGATAGCCACTTGCCCACTTTCTTATCCTAGTGTTTGCTTTCGCAGGGGCCCAAATAAGTGGAGGAGAAACGCTTTCCCCCTCCCCCTGATCTCTTTCCCGAGACAAGAGTGCTCTTCCTTCCCTCTCTAGCTTTTCATCCTCACCCAGAAAAATCAATCAATCAATCATCAATCAATCAATCAATAATAAATGAATAAATGGCTTTGGCACGGGCTGAGGTGCGGATTAATTAGAGATTAGATGGCATCAACTGCTTCTTACCCCCAATTTTCTCTTTTCTTTTTCTCCATTTTACGTGTCGGCCTGACAAATGAATGGTCCAGGTGCGCTTCAGGGGACGTGGGGAGGAGAAACTGCACTGGTGCCTCCTCAGGTTCCTCCTCCTGGGAGGCTCCACAGAGATTTCCCATTATTGCTGCTGAGCCTTAGCTGCAATTGAGAGACTGGGCCAAGTCTGCTGCCCTCCAACATGTATCCCTTTGCAATCCTTGTCGCCAGGGCTTCCAAGGTGGGTCAAAGAATGGCTCTAACAAATGGGAAAGACTGAGAAGGTTATAGATTTCTTTGTCTGCTTTTGCACTTAACTTTTTTCCTAAGGCAATTCTCAGAGCAGCGAATCCACCATGTTCTGGTTAAATGTGTGCTTTCAGCCATTAAAGAGTGGGCCCTGGTTCCACACCAGTTGCTACCCAGGGGCTGAATACATGCCACAGGTCAAGAAAAAAAAATGAAGTTCTAATCTTGTATGGAGTTTAATTTGCCCTTTTCGAGACTGGAAGAATGCATAATAAAGTCTGAAACTTGCAAGTCCGTTCCACATCCCAAATGGGATTTCTATTGACAGTTTCAGTGGGATAGGCCTTGTTCTAATGGAAGCTGGGAGTTCTACCTCAACTTAGAAATCCCTAGTAAAGTGCCTAGGCAATAAGACAGGACCATCCACTTAATGTACTCAGGCAAGATGGCTAAGCTCTCCTACATAGCAAACCCTGCCTTTGTCAGCACATCAAATTTGGATCAAGCTAGTATAGTATTTTGATAATGAGAGTTTTCTGCTAAAGGACTGGAAATTGCCTTTGGGGGAGTTTATAATCCCCCTTTTCTCCAAGGTTCTGGGGCAGCAAAGTCATTAACGTTGCAATACATATGTCGATGAGAGTCTGCTGTGAAGGGAAAGGGGATAAAGCAGTAAGGTGTGATTTCAGAGATGGTGAGGAAAGCCTAGCTCTTCTCTGAGGGGAAAGGGAAAGCAGTGGGGAAGTAAAGGAAAGCTCCGCCCCCAGCTGTACTGTTTGTTTTGCCTCTAATGAAGGCTATAGGCCTCTTTCTCTGCTATTGTTGCCTGAGGCCTAAAGTGTAAATATACCACAGATGGCAATTTCATATTAAAAAGTCTTCCCCTAAAAAGGAAGATTATTCTTGACTATAATTTATTTTTACTTAAGAAATGTTCTTTACACTAGTTTCAGAAAATTAACTCTTCAATTCTTTCCTCATGCCAGTGAAATTCACCACCCATTTCTTCTGTTACTGTAGACACCAGCTCTCCAGCTCCCAAATCAGGTACATGGCTTGACAGGTGCTTTGGAACACAGGCACTAACTAACCTTGCAGAGTTTAAATGAGATCATAAAATAAATAAGCTTCATGTGTTGCCTGTGCAGTCACTGACTCAGGGATGTCAGCAGGGACTGTCTGGTTAGTGAGAGCTATTGATTACCTCAGACCACCTCAGTCCCGACTTCAGTCCTTAAATTCAACCTCTTCAAGGGCAGCTTCATTAGCAGGCAGGAATGTCAGCTTCTCCACTCTTTCCAACTCTTGAATAACACAAAGTGAAATGGCCAAAGGCAGACAACAAGAAAAAGAAAGGCCAGGATTTTGTGGTATCCTAAGACCTTGCCCCCAAGAAAATCAAAATTAATTTCAAATTCCTCTTTCTTTCTTTCTTTCTTTCTTTCTTTCTTTCTTTCTTTCTTTCTTTCTTTCTTTCTTTCTTTCTTTTAAAAAGAGATTTATTTAGTTAGTTTACAGTGTTCTGTCTGCATATATGCCTGCAGGCCAGAAGAGGGCACCAGATTTCATTACAGATGGTTGTGAGCCACTATGTGGTGACTGGGAACTGAACTCAGGACCTCTGGAAGAATAGTCACTGTTCTCAACCTCTGAGCCATCTCTCCAACCCCTCAAATTCCTCTTTCTAAAACTCCATCCATCTCAAAGTCATTCTCTAGAAAATTTTAGCATTCTGGCAGGTCAAAGATGGGTTATATGTTGTGGTGGGTCAAAGTCCTGTGTATGTGCCTGAGTGGTAGCTGATTTGGTACATTTGGGCCACTGAGACCATGCCCCTCAGTCAAGGGGTGGAACCAGCTCTCCCATGTGCAGGGGTCTCCTCTGCTCTGAGGGGCAGGTCAGTTCTCCAGTGCCTGCTCATTGGGACTAGCTCTTCCAGGGCTGGTGGTGCAGGGGCAAAGCATCATCAGGAGTGGCCAACCTGTGGACCTTCTGCTCTATGCCAAAAACAAAAAACAAAAACAAAACAAATAAACAAACAAAAAACCCTTCGGGAGATGGACAGGAGTATACTGAAGAGTTGACTTCATCTTTTCTCTTTAGAGTCATGCAGAGAAAGCCTGTCAATCATTGTCTGTAATCTGCCCCCTCTCCCGGATCTGTCATTTGAAAACTTTCAGAACACATCACCTGTTTCTGTGAGTTATGCTGTCTCGCAATGCTCCTGGGCCTCTGTTTGAGACATTCACTGTGGAAGGAGGAGGAACGTGGGAAGAGAATGGGCCTTGTCCTTTCTAGAAACCCCAAATTTCAGTCAATGCCCTTCAGTCATGGCTCATGCTCCCAGAACTGAGTTCTTAGATTCTGCATGGGACCCACTACTGCATCTGTCTACCACTGGGGAATTCTGCTTACAGTATAGTCTTTAGGTATATGTGCACATGTGTCTTAATTCATGTTCACCTTCATCTGAGTGATATAACATTTATAGTTGCTTCTCTATCAGAAATTTCAGGGTGATGAGTTGAGAAAATGATTTTTCCATCTACAGCATAGTGTTCATATTTCTCTCAAGTCTCTCAGATGGTATATGATAAAGTCATATATTTAATATATAACCATTTATTATATATTAAAATATATGACATATTATATGCTAATATAGTTGTATACATAATTATATCTACTGGTATAATGTATTACATTTCTTTCTCTATCATAAATATCAGAAACTGAAGATATAGTAAAGATTTGATAAGCTGTTTGCTTTTGCTACATTGAACTCAAAGTTTTGTTAATTATAAACAAAGAAGGAACTGGAAATCAATACTGTGACTCCTCTGTAGAGTTGGCACTTGTGTTTCTTTTAATCATTAACCTGTCATCAGGACAAAGTTCTCTGCCTTGTTGGAAAGGTCACATGTTGCTTTTAGTCTTTCCTCCTACAGCAACACTCTCTTCAGAGGAGGGGAGAGGTTCCTTAGACCAGGAAATAATATAATTTGCTGTGGTTGAGAAAGAGAAACTCAGAAGTTTTAGAGGATTCACCCAGACTTTAGAAGGAGAGACCCTGACCAGCTTCAGAGAAGACACAGACCTGTCCCTAGCCTGCAAGCTGTGCAGTCTCAGCTGTGCTGTCCCCTGAGTCACAGCCTGTGCTGACGTGGGCTCTGCGGGGAGGCAGCTGCTGTGGATCCATTCCGGCTCCTGTAAGTAACTCCTCACCACACCCCTGTTAGCAACCTCAAAGAAAACCCGGTGGTCCCACACAATGGACCTTCATGGTGTTGGTATTCTGCTCTGTCACAGGTTCCCTTCTTGGGGTGTGTGGGTGTGTGTGTTACATGCATCTCCACTGGTAAAGTCTCTGGTACAACATCAGTTTTCATAAGATCCAGTTGGTTTGTGTGATCATGTCTTGGTTTGATATCAGCAGACAGTGGAATAGTGTGGCCGGCTTTGTCTGCACAGCTGTTGTCATCCTGTGTGTGGGGGGATACCGGCTGTGTAAAAGATGCTCTGAAGAAATGTAGGGATGGATGAACTTTACAAAGGCAATTACTGATCAGGTCTGCAGTCTGGAGTGGATGTGCAGAGCACAGGAGGGAATGTGAAGAGTTAGACTACATGGTGGTTTGAATGTCAAGTGATCAGAAAGAAGCACTACTTAGAAGGAATAGGAAGTGTTTCCATGTTGGGGTTGGTGTGGTCTTGTTCGAGGAAGTATGGCACTGGGGTGGACTTTCATATTTCAAGAGCCCAAGCCAGGTCCCGTGTCTCCCTCTCTTCCTGTGCCTGTGGACTGTGGTGTAGAACTCTCAGGTCCTTCTCCAGCACCACGTCTGCTGCTGGCTGTCATGAAGACGCAGTGCGATTGGTAATGAAAGGTCCCCAGATTATCTTACAAAAGATACAGCTTTAATAAAACAGAAGGAAAAACTTAACATCAGAATCCCAACCGTCCAGAAAGCTGGATCCAGGCCAGAGCCAGAGAGGGCGGGGAAATGCACCCTCCAGGTTAATAAGTAAACTTTTGCCTTTGGGCAACACGCCCCACAGATTGTGATTGGTTAAACTCCCCTATCATCGTCAGACTCCACATTTTGATGACAATGGACTAAACCTCTGGACCTGTAAACAAGCACCAATCAATCCTTTCCTTTATAATAGTTGCCATGGTTATATTGTCTCTACACAACAATGAAACACTTACTAACCTCACAGCTCTGCTGGCTTTGGGGGAGGACTTCTGCTTTTGTGTCTCAGGTTGCTCAGCTGGAACTTTCAAAATCCTTCCTTTTGCTCCAAGTTCTTGCATTCTGCAGTTCCTTAGACTTTGCTCTTAATCCCCTTTTTAGGAGTCTGGCTTCACCACAAACTCTTTTGAAGAACAGGCCCAGTGGTAGAGGCCCCAGTGAGCACCTGGACACAGGGTCCATAACTGAACTATGTGTTGCTCACCATCAACTCTTGAGTTACTTCTGTAGCCCGCCCTCTGTGGCACACACAGCTGGTCTTCTAAGCTCTGTCTGGCTTCACTCCACTGCTCCTGCTGTGCTTGGGGGTCATCCCATGGAACTGGCATCTCCAAAATACTTGGGTCTCCCACTACAACTGCACTTTAACTAGTAGTCTATTCTGGGCTTTCTCTGTGGAATCCAGTTCTGCTACACAGTGCCTAGCTCCCATGACGCCTTCTCACCTTTAGAACTAGCACCACCTGGGTGGTTCCTATACTGCCGAGTTTGGCTGCCAGCACAAGGTACAATCTTGGCCATGTCTGGAACACAGTCTGTGTGTGCTGACTCTCAGGAAACACTGTCCAGAAGACCTCACCTCTAAGATGCTGGTCTCTTTGTAATCAACCCCATCTGGTCAACATTGAGTATTCCAGCAAAAGTTTCACTTTTGTAATTCTGATTCCTTGCTAATCATAGCTGATTCTTCAGCTCCCAATACCAAGAACCATGGATTCTTAACTCATATGACCCCAACACTCTTATCCACCAGGCTCCTAAAGATGGCCCAGTGAGCTCTCAACACTTGATGGTTTTCTAGCCCATACTTCCAATGTCCTTCTACAAACTTTCCCAAAACCCATGGCCGGCAGCCACAGAAATACCACACTATCTTGTATGAACTTGTCTTCTTTAGGGTTACTATTGTTGTGTAGAAACATCATGACTAAAAGAACTTGGGGAGGAAAGGGTTTATTCGACTTCCATTTCTAAATCACTGTTCATCAGTTGACGGAAGTCAGGGTATGAGTCAAACGAGGCAAGAAGCTGGAAGCAGAAGCTGTTGTAGAGGCCATGGGTGGGCACTGCTTACTGGATTGTTCCTCGTGGCTTGCTCAGCTTGCTTTCTTATAAAAAAGGACAACTATGGGTGGGATTTCTGCCATCCATCAGTACTTAAGAAAATGCCCTAAAAGTTTGTCTGCAGCCTGATTGTAGGGAGGCATTTTTAAATTGAGTTTCCTGGCACTCAAATGACTTTAGCTTATTTCAAGTTGACATAAAATTATTCAGCACATACCTTACATTTACCAGATTCATTCATTATTGCTCTTTTATTTGGCATCTTTATTAGAAGGACCTGTGAGTCCCTGCCACCATGATTCAGTAGCACATCACTACAATGATGTCACAACAGGCCATTACAATCTACAGTCATTAAAACAAAGTGTTTTTCTTTTTGATTCTGAAACATTTAACTGCATTGAGAAGTTTGTTGTGAAAACTTCCCTGTATTTAATCATATTCTAGCATTTAAATTCTTTTTAAGAAACTTATTAGAGTACTAGGGAGATGGCTCAGCAGTTAAAAGAACTTGCTACTCTTGGAGAGAATCTGGGTTCAGTCCTCAGTTTTTCCAACCATCTATAACTCCAGTTCCAGGTGTCTGATGCCCTCTTCTGGGCTTCGCAAGTGCCATGTACACTTATCAGATATACAGAGACATAGGCAAAATACTCTTACACAGTAAAAGTAAAAATTAAATTTTTAATAATAATAATACATTAATGACAAATAATTAGAGGTTTCACTATGATGTTTCACAATGTGCATATGCTATTTTGGTTATTATCAGCCCTCTCACGTCCTTTTCTTACCCCCACCAACTTGCTTCCTCTTCTTAATTACTCGTCCTCTATTTTCATGTGAGGTTTATTTAGGAAGTTATTTTATCCAATGATTCCATTTGGGGTTCTTTGTAGAAGTGAGGTGAGGAACTACTTATAAGAACATGGATTCCTAAATAGTGGCCACACCACTGCAAAAATGTCTCTCCCACTCCTGCACCATTAACTGAAGATAGATTCTAAGGAGCTCTGGAGCCTCATGAGCCCCTCTCTCTCCATGAAGGGAAGGCTGACAGGCCTGCTCTTGTGCAGGGATCATGCAAGTGCTCGGAGCTGCTGAGAGTTCAGCAGTGCAGCAGCCATGTCATGGCTGGAACGCAGGGGTCTCTTATATCCTTTCTTTCCCCTTTCTAATGAGATTCCTGACTCTTGGGTGGGGTGATGCAGATGTGTGGTTTAGTAAATTCTGTTATTCCCATGTCATGGGCTCAACCTCCTGGGACAACATTTGGGTGGCCTGGTTGGGGAACTCTTCGTTTGGCTCCATTGTCCTCTCTTCCCTCTGTGGCTTGTGGCAGTTGATGGGACAGTTCATGAGCAGCTGAAGATTTCTGTCTGGAAAGGTTTTGCAGTGAGATCCAAAGCTCCAGACTGAGAGGCTGAAAGTACTTAACCCTTTACCTTAGGAGAGAAGTATGACAGGCATCGCTTACCTTGTACTTCAACATCCCATGACCCTGACAAATGAAGGGGTTTTGAATACAGACCACACCAGCCCTTCTTAGACAGACCCATTTCTGGGGTCAGCAGCCTCTCAGGTGCATGTGGCACAGAGGGAAGCGAGACAGAAAGAGTGGACGGGCAGTCCTAGCTGACTGTGTGAAAACACCTTTGCAGTTGTGATTGTGATGAGTATATGGTAAGGGTCCCTCTAAGGGCCATGACAGGAGTGCATGCAAGTGATGTGTTCAGAAGCTTGTTACACACAGTTCTCATTGTTTGAGCAGAAGACAGTGTATTGAACTGGTAACCAGACAGTCAACAGGTCAGTGTTAAGGGCATGGGAGGATTGCCCAATAGGTAAGGACCTTGCTATGGAAGCATGAACACCAGAATTCACATCCCCGATACCCAGTGGGACACCTGTTTCATGTCCCCAGAAGACTAACCCTATCAAGAAGCAGAGTGAGACCCCAGTCTGTTCCTTACCTCCTTGGGGATGACATTTTTTCTTCACATACATATAAATGCCAAAAATGACAGACAGGATGATGATGATGATGATGATGATGGCGCCGACTACTTCTATGATGGTAGATATTTCCTTATTGGAAAATTGCCTGGAAGACAGAATCTGGGTGGTGTACATAGTATATGGAAGCTGGGTGATGGATGGAAGCTGGGTGATATCCGTGACACTTGATGTTGGTACTTTAAAAAAAAAATCAGAAAGTTAAGGATAAAGCTAAAAACATAACTCCTTCAGCACATTCTCTCTCCATTCAGTATGAGGGTCTCATGTGTAATAACTGTTTATCATCCCTGAGTACAGAGGGGAGTGGAGCTGTGTGGACAATGTTCTTGCAGAGTTTACTTCCTTACCAGAGAAAGCAAATGTCTATCAAAGCATTAAACAAAGTGACATACTTAGTGTGGTAGAACTTTCTGGATGGTGGCACAATTGGTGGTGTTTAATTGTGCCAGAGAAAGAGAGTGAAGCCTGTCACAGTGACATGGAGCTGGTACAAGGGCAGCTATAAGTGAGAAGGAAAGTGTAGTTGTATAGTATATGTGTTTTTAACAAATGAAGCTTGCCTGAAGATCTGCGGGCAAAGGGAAGCCACGCTTTTAATGCCAGGATTTGGGAGACAGAGGCAGACAGATCTTTGTGAGTTCATGGCCGCCATGGGATACACAAGATCAATCCAGAAAGAGATCCAAGTGGTGGTGGCTCACACCTTCAATCTCAGTACCAGGGAGTGACATGCCTTTAATCCCTGCACTCAGGAGGTGGAGACAGGAATGATATGGCTATAGGGAGAGAAGAATATAAAGAAGAAGAGACAGGACCTGACTGGAGTATGGAGTCTGAAGTTTGTGGAGAGCATTGCAGGAGGGTCCCTTTGCTTGTCTTAGTCTTGATAGAGGTAAGATCTTTCTAGTGTCTTGGCTACTTTGCTTTTCTGATTTTCAGCATGAACCCCAATATCTGTCTCTGGGTTTTTATTATTTGTGATACAGAAAAAGATGTAAATTTACAGTGATGCTGACTTGAGACCCATTAGCAGGCCATGTAGTGTCTGGGCCATTAGTTAATAAGAAATGAGAAACAGTAGGGTGTTAGATGAGGAAGAGGAATCCTTGTGGTCATTACTGGATCGCAGACAGGAAGACGACTAGGAAATATCCCACCCAGTCTATCAAATTTGATGGTGTTCCTGTCTGATAATTTAGGTAATACCTACTTGGCTTTTCCTTCTGGTGTTTTAAGAGTTCCTTGAGCCAGTGCCTGCAGTCTGCTGTGGAGATTATCATGAGATCTTTTATGAATTGTTCATCATCCTGCCATGTGTTCATGATACCACCAGCTTCACGATCAATCAGTGTCCAATTCATATTCATTGTGTCCAAGAGGAAGGAGTACTTTCCACTGATGTTAAATCTCCAGGAGGCACCAACACTTTGTTCGTGTTCATATTGAGAAAGCATGGTGGCCTGTAAAGTGGGCTGACCTGCAAACCACACACAATACCATTCTGTTTCACTCTCATAGATCCATCACTTCTCCAAAGGCCAGGACTTTCCCACTGGCTTATGAGCCAGGGTCATTTCCACATGACTTGCCCTTTGTTACCCATTGGGTACCACATGCTTCCAAGGCTGGACCAGTGCTCAGCTCTCTCACACAGACACACTCACCATCTCATTCTCACACGTGCTCTGTCCTTTCTCCCTCTTGCCACCTGTCTCTGCCTCAGTACTCGTCCCACACTTACCATTGGTCTTGGTCATCTTTTGCATGGAGTTAGCCAACATCTTCCTGAGCTCTTGCCTCAAGTATTCCAGCCTTTGGATCATATCTGTCCACACTTGAGTCCCATTGGCTGCATTTCCCAGGTCACCCAAAGGTGTGAATTTGCTATTTTTATATTGAAGTAAAGGCTCTCCATCCACTGAGCACTGACCTTCACACCAGGACTGCCCAGGTGTGGTCCGAGCATTGACAATGACATCACAACTAAGAGAGTGTGTATCTGTGAGAGAAACAAGCAAGAGAGGTACAAAGAGGGAACAGAAAGCCACAGGACTCATGATTCTGTGACACCCAGAATTCCTCTGAAGGGTAACCGGGCATTAAGAGAAGCCTCTAGTCAAGGTGTCCATCAGCTTCTGGATCCATATTTCCGTGCCATCTTTGATTGTCTTAGGGTGGAAGGACCCCTCAGATGCACAACATATCACCAGGGGGATTCATCTCAGAAGTACTTTAGTGAATTTTTTCAAGTGTTGAGGAATTAAATCTGTCAGATAGTATCTGTTCCCAGGACTAAAAATCTACTGAGCACATAGGGGAAAGGAGGTATCATAGAACATGTGGTAAATTCACATGGAGCCTGGAGTTCAGGAAAGCCTCCTGGACTATGCTGTAACTTGTCATGGGAGGGGAACTGTCACCTGTGAGCACAGTACTCACCGTGTTCCCACTGGGGCCCTTCACACAACAATGTTGAACATCATATCTCAAATTATCTCATGTTAAACACATCCCTAAGTCAGTCTCAAGAAGAGATCTCAGCCTGTGACCTGCTCTAAGCCCTGATCTCCCTCCTCTTCCTCAGGCAGTTGTTTCCCAGCACACTTATGGCCCCTGGTCTCCCAGGCTAACATCAAGAGAAGACACAATATCCTATGGGTGTTCTGTTCAGCTGACTGCACAAACAAGGAGGAAAGTCCTAGAGGGCCATGGACATGTGTACTATTCTGTCTATGTGCAAACCTGAAATCTAAAATTATAATTTTTAAATAAGGTTTTAAAAGTTTTCTATGTAATTATACTAAAAAATGAAGAAATGTTTTTTAAAAAGCCAAAAAAAAAAAAACCCTTCTTCTCTTCTCTCATCCCAAAACTTCCGCAATGAGGTGGGCTGTTGGAGGTTTGGGGACATTCTCTCCTGTCCCCTTCAGCCAGTTTCTTCTTCCTCCTCCTCTCTACCTCTTCTGCCACCTGTTTCTTCCATCACTGTGGTTTCCCACAACTTTCTTGCTTCTATCACTTTTAAGGCTTGAATTTGTTCTTTAGTGGCTGGAATTTTTCTTACTCAGAACCTCCTACTGGAAGACAGGTGGACATGAACGTGAGCCCTTGTGAGCCGAGAACTAGCTCTGTGGTTGTGAACCAAAGGTCACAAACTCAGCAGTTTGGTGGGTCAGATACAATATGCATCAGTTGTCTATAAGAAAAATACAGTTAGAAGTTTGATGAGAGGAAACTGTTTTTGCTAAAGCAGGAACATGGATTCATGAAGGTAATTGAAAGAAAGCATCCCTGACGTAATAACGTCCAAGTATGCACTAATAATAATAATAATAATAATAATAATAATAATAATATAAATGTCTTAGAAGGAAGTGTTTAAACTCACACTTCCAGATTAGAGAAGGAAATCATTTTCATACATTATTACAAGTGTGTCCCAGCAGTATTGACTAGACAAGGTCTCTAGAAGCTCTGGGACTCACCAAGCAGGACAGTCAGGCTTGACATTGACTCCAGGGTTCTCTTGCCTCTTCCTTCTTAATACTGACAATAAAACCACTCAGCACCATACCTGGCTCTATTACAGGGTTGCTAGGGATCAAACCAAGTTTTCATGGTTTTGAAGCAGGCCTTCTACCAATCAGCTCTCTTCCCGTGTTTGGACACACTAACTTTCAGTGGTCAGCAAACAGTCAGGATTTTCTGGAGACAAAACCCATGTGCTCCAGGAGTGGCTTGCAGAGGCTGGGCCACACTGCATGAAACAGGAAGTCCAGAACTTCTAAAGCTGGAAGTGAAGGGTGTGTGTAAAGGCTCAGTACATGTGTCAAAGGATATGCGATATGAAATATGTCTACTCTGTCCATGGAGAAGCATGGATGACACTTGTTTGCCAAGCATGAAAATGGATGTCCAGGGAGATGAGCACAGGTCTTGAGAGATGCACAGAAATGTAAACTACACAAGGTCAGGGCTGTGGTGGTTTGAATAAGGATGGCCCCTAAAGGCTCATATATTTGAATGCTTGGGCATCAGGATTTGGCACTTCCTAAGATGGACTGGGAGTGTGGCCTAGTTTGAGCAGGTGTGACCTTACTGAAAGAAGTGTGTCATTGGGGGTGGGCTTTGAGGTTTAAAAAGTCCATTCCAAGCCCAGAGCCTCTCTCTTCTTGCTGCCTTTGGATCTGGATATAGATCTCAGCTACAATATATGACTGGGTACCACCATGTTCCTCACCATGAGGATAATGGATGAAACCTCTGAAACTGTAAGCAAGCACCAATTAAGTGCTTTCTTTCCTAAGAGTTTCCATGGTCATGTTATCTCTTCACAGCAACAGAACACTGAACAAGACCATGTTTCTCACATAAGCTGCTTATGGTAGAGTGTTTATCACAGCAACAGAATGAAACTAGAAAATCACATGCAACTCCCCTAGATGGACTGCTGTGCTCTAGGGGTGGCTTCCTGGACCTGGTCAGAGGCTAGCCCACACTACAGGACACAGAAGATCTAGGCTGGTTAAATCTGGCAGTAGAAGAGTGGGGATCAAAAATCTCAGAGAAGTGCATTGCTGGAGTGGATGGAACAGCAAACGTTTCCAGGGGAAGTGTGCAGAGTCCATGTTGTCTGTGGATGCTGGAGCATCCCTGCTGAGAAGAACAGGGAGAAGGACCAGGGAGAATAGCACTAGCGTTTCTGGAAGTTCATAGATGATGATGATGATGATGTATCAAGGCTATGGTTGGTGTTAGGAAACTGGACAGAAAAACCCCATAGCGTAGAATGGTCAAGAGAAAGTAACATCAAATGCAGCTGTCCACTGATGAGAAAGAGAGACCCAGCTTAAAGTCTAAGAGGAACATGACTAACAGAACACAGAAATCCTAAATACAGAAAGATGGTTAGCCAACCCAGATGTGACTTGGTTTTAATAATTAAAGATGAACTGGGTGGTGGTATCAAATGCCTTTTATTTAGCACTCAGCGAGGCAGAGGCAGGCCAATTTCTGTGAGTTTGGGATCATTCTTGTCTACAAAGTAAGTTCCAGGATAGCAAGAAGTAAATAGAGAAATTCTGTGTCCAAACAAACAAATGAAAACAAAAACCAAAAACAAGCAAAGAAGAGAAAGAAGACAAGATGATGAAGAAGCTGAAAGCTGCTGTCCCGTCAAAACCCCGACTCCTGTGCCCATTGTTTAAACTGAACCGTTGGGGCTAGAGAGGTGGTGCAGGGGTTAAGGGCAGGAGGTTCTCTGCGAGGTCGAGGCCAGCCTGGTCTACAGAGTAAATTTGAGGACAAGCCAGGACTGTTTCACAGAGAAACCTATCTCAAAAAATAAACAAACAACAAGCAAACAAAAGTGTACTCCACCAAGAGGTGTGCTACACTAAAAAACAACAACAAAAAACCCAAACCAAACTAAAGCTATGTGAGCCCTAAGCTTGCTGCTCCAGCCACCATGCACCCCAGGTGTCAAGCTTCTCTGCTGTGATGTGAAGGTCTCTTGTCCTCTGAAACTCTAAGATCCCAAACCCTTCATTCTGTGTGTGACTGTGGCCTTGGTGTTCATCACAGCAGAGGAGAGTGGTAAATACAGCTACTATATCAACAATGAAATCTTCACAGGACAGACAGTCTCTGTTACACCTGCTCAGCTCTGCTCTTGGAGCTTGAAAACAGTCAGTGACAATACATCCATGAAGACCCTGGCTGGACCTGTCCTAGGGTGCTATGACCAAGGACAATCTATGAGCTTGAGGTGTCAGTTCTAGAAAAATGTCCTGGGTGGAGTTAATATCATGTTTAACTGGAGACACCTTGTTTGGGCAGACTTCAGTCTGACCCACCTGCAGCAGGCAAAATATAGTCCATATCACTATGGCTCTTGCATGATCCTGGGCCCTGGCAGAGAGCAGCCTGTGGTCCAGGGCTATCAGAAAGTCCATCAGACCTCAGGCAGATATCATGAGGTGAACTCTTTCTCACTAGATTATTAGGTGGACAGGTCACAGTCAGACAAGATGTCCCAATAAGTCAGTTGTGTGTTGAGAGCTGCCTAGCAGGGAGAGACTAGGACTCTTGTCTGACAGAATATCTCCTGTTTCTCAGGTGGGTGTGGAGATCTTATCTCATGTAGAGGAAGCTGCTGAGGTTAGTTCTCAAGTAAGCTGCCACCTTTCCCTCAGCAAGCACCTCAGGCTCCAAGGAGCATTCTTTATGTTCATGAAATCCACAGAATCCACTGAACAACAGTGGAGACAAAGGACCTAACCCCAGGTCCTCCTCTGTCATTTCCAGATATCCCAGACGTCACAGGGAGCATAGAGCCCTCTGCTGACTGGGCAGCACACAGCTTTGGCAGTGCATTTAATGACACCCTATGGGGATGGACGCCAGTACTGGGACATGGATATGCCCTAATCTGGGGTCAGGACAGAGGACAAATCTGCTGTCCCATTCATCAGCTTGTTTCCTTCTGCTGCTGTCACTCTGAATGCAGACCTGAGTATTTGATATGGGACAGATACAGTGAGAATAGTGCCTACCATTTACAGAAAAAAACAAAAAACAAACAAACAAAAAAACCCCTCTTCTTCCTAAATGGACACCAGTATCTGATGACCTCTCCCCAGAAGGTAGATTATATGGGCTTGGGAGCAAGGACACAAGATTTCAAACACCCCACCCAGGACCAATGCCAAAGTCTTCCATAGTGGACAAAGTGTGATAGTCCCTGCTTAGCCATGGTGTCTTCAGGCATGAGCAGTCTGCCACCTGGTGGACGAAAACGTAAATGCATTTTATGGATGGGAGAGCAGGAAAGGCAGGATGGACCAGAAAGTGAGGAGCCATAGGATGAGTCCCATGGGGATGGAAACTGAGCTTAGACTGAGGGAAAATGGAATTATTGGAGATTCTATACTGTGGACTGTGGTGTAAAATCCTGCTTTAAATTAAAAACAAAAACAGAAAGAAGGAAGAAAAAGAATAATAGGAAAAAAAGTAGGAATTTGTATGGTTGTGGCTGCCTGTGGCTGTGGTTGTCCCTGGAAGCATTTATTGTCATCTTCCAGAGAAGGTGGGGAAGAAAATTCAAGAACAAAGGGGTCCTGGAATGGTGGAGGGCTGGTGAGGAAACCCCGGGAAGGCAGTCTTCAGAGCATAGACTGCCTTAGGTCCAGGGCAGCTGTCTGACACCACCTCCTGGAGGGGTCAGCAGTGGTGACTGGGCTTAGGCTTCAGTGGACCCCAGTGGTGCTGGGGGCCTCACTAGCTACTCCCCTCTGCTGCTGTGCCCTCCTCATTCATACAGCCCCTTCCGACCCTGCCTCAGTAACTTTCCCCCCCCAACTTTAGTGAATCCACTGAAGAGAAAGGGGGGAGGGACTTGGTGAGGACCAGGGCACCCAAACTTAAATATTTGATCTTCCTGTCTCAGTAGCCTGATGCTCCCCTTCCCCCCTCCTCCATGAAGCTCCCCTTCCCCACTCCCATCCAGTTAAGTACTGATAACTCACTGGCTTGCAGTGAAGATCCCAGACAGATCAACAGAACGAAAAAGCACAGAACTAGGGATCCTGAGGCTGCAGCCTTTGCCATGGTTCCTTCCTGAGGCCCGGCACCCGGCAGGTGTGACTGGAGCTGTGGAGAGAATGGAGAATGGGGAGTCCTCAGTACCGCCCCACAGAGGACCCTGTGCAGAGATTCACAAAACACTGGGCACCCGGGATGTGAATTCAGTCCGTCCTGTGCTCCAGCCATGCCGGTTCCTAGTTCCCATCTTTTCCTACAACTCTTTTTCCTACATCTCTTCGGGGGTCCCTCAGGGCCATGCAGCTCCGGTCCTCTCTTGGAGCCCACTGTGATTTCCTTTCAGTCAAGCTTGGGCACACGGAGCACTCAGTGTGAACAGAGAGCAAGGGTACTGTGGTCCAGGGCTCCCACACAGGCTGTCCCTTCACCTCACTCACCTCAGCTGAGCCCTCAGGGACCCTGGACAACAGAGTCAGGAGAGATGAAGACAGTCGTGCCTTCAGCTGGTTCTCTGCTCAACGTGATCCAGGAATTTACCCCAGATTGTCCTTGTGAGGTTTCCACACCCACAGCAACAGAGTCTTTTGGCCCTTCCAGTAGGTGGTCCTGTTAGCTTTAGCAGTTTTTCTGCTTCTCTAGATTCACACACTCTCTCTGTCTCCCTCTAGACCATCCCTCTGGGTCCCCTGGAGCCTCCAGCCTGCTCTTTCTCACTTCCTCTTTCTCAAGTTTCTCCTCCATTCCAGACTCATTTGCCCCTCCAGGTCCCTTTCCCACACCACCTGAAGGTCTTTGAACCCTCAAGTTCCTGTCCCCCTGCTTGTCACTGTGGCCCCTCCCCCAGTCCTTCTTATCACTCTCCCTTCCCCCTCCATTTCCTTCCTTTCGCTTTCTCCTGTTGGAGACAGCAGCTGTCTTGTGGGGAAGGAAGTCTGAGCTTTCCTCTGTGACTCTAGCACCTAAGACCTTCAGGGGAGTTCTGCAACTAAAAAACATCTCCCAATTAAAAGCAGCTTCTGGGGTCTGGAGAGAGAACTCAGAGGGTGAGAGCACCAGCTGCTCTTTGGGGACCCAGGCTGGATCCCCAGCATCCAGACAGCAGCTCACAGCCTGGGGAACTGAGATTCCAGGGGATTCCATGCAGGCTTCTGGCCCTCATGGGTGCTGCACACACAGGCCAGAGAAACACACACGGATAAAGTGTTCATACATATGAGATAAAAATGATTTCCCCCCTGTTTTAGAAGAGGCTTTTACGTATGAAAAGTCTAGATTTTTGGTGGAATATTTTTTAATTTGCTGTCACTGTTTTTAGGGTTTTTTATTTTTCAGTTTTTTGAAGGTAAACCCTATGTTTGTGAAGGTGTGTGTGTGAGTGTGTGAGTGTGTGTGTGTGTGTGTGTGAGTGTGTGAGTGTGTGTGTGGGGGGTGCTGTACATGCAGGATGGTGATTGACCATGGCTGTGGATCCACAGGTGCCATCCATCATACTTGAGGACACAGTGTCTTCCACTGGCCTCAGGTCTGTGGGTTGCCTATGGTGTATGGCCAGTGAGTCCCAGAAACCCCACCTCTCCCCACTTCTTTATCTGAAATAGCTTTGAATTCATTCTGGATCCCAGCTTCTAAAAGTTAAATATAGTTACCTACTGGGGAGTAAAGTGTGGGGAGAAACCAGGAAATAAAAGAAGGTCCAGGAGATGGGAGAGAGGGTATAAGGCAGAGATGAAGAAGGACAGCAGAACATGAATATATGAGAAGGGAATGGGAGTTACTGGGAGAGGAGAGTACAGCAGGGCAGGGGTGGGGGAGGCTGTGAGTGGTGTCTGTAGTGCAGTGTGTGTTTTTCATGTCAGTGCTGCCTCCATGCTGTGTTTACTCTGTAGTAGGCACTGTCAGTTAAAACACAGAGTAAAAACTGTAAGGGGTAGTGACGGTGATCAACATTGTCAGCCTGACTGGCTTAGTGGATATGGAGAATGGTTGAGATGCTCTCTGTCTCTGGGAGTGTTTCCAGAGGGAACAGTGTATCACAGTAAGACCCTCCAGCCCAGGTCACCACAAAGGGGAAGTGTCTCTATTACTGCTACCCCCACAAGTGTTCTTTAGTGACAAGGCCATGGCTCTATGTCAGCAGTTGCCAGCTTTCACTGTCAGATTGTCACAGCTGAGGCACCCAGCCTGCTGGACTGAGCAGTACTGAGTTCTCTGCCTCTCCTTTGTACCCAGGACAATCTGTCAGCCCAAGGTGTCAGTTCTAGGAAATGGCCCTGGGTGTAGCTCATAGCAATGTCTAATTGGAGAAGCACCTTGCTTGTGCAGAAGACAGCCTGACCCACCTGCAGCAGGGAAAATACACTCCATTTCATTGTGTCTCCTGACATGGTCCTGGGCCCTGGGAGAGAGCAGCCTGTGGTCCTGGGCTATCAGAAGGTCCATCAGGCCTCAGGCAGACATGATAAGGTGAGTTCTTTCCCACTAGGTTGTTATGTGAACAGATCACAGTCAGACAAGATATCCAGAAGTGAGACATATCCGGAAGGGACATAGTGGTCATACATGTTGAGAACTGCTGTTAATCTGTGTATCGCCACGAGGTCATGTCCTACCAGAAAAGTTTCACCAGGCTCCAGTGCCAGCCTCTGTTGTCCTCAGTGAAGGCTACATGGCTTTCCCCTGACTCTGTCTAATCTCTCCCCCTCTATTCGCTTGGAACTCCTACCTTGTCCTATGCTGCTAAGCCACTGGCCAAAACAGATTTATTCATTAACCAATAAAGGCAACACATAGACAGAAGGACTTCCCACACCAGAGGAGTGTTGGTATTAGCTCTTTTTTGAAATTCTGATAGAATTCTGTGCTGAAACCGTCTGGCCCTGTTTTGTTGTTGTTGATTGTTTGTTTGTTTTTGGTTGGGAGGTTTTTAATGACTGTTTCTAATTTTTTAGGGGTTATAGGTCTATTTCAAATTTCTATCTGATCTCTATTTAATTTTGGTATGTTGTACCTATCAAGAAAATTGTCTTTCTATTTCTTTCACCAGTTGTTTTTGTGGTAGGAGGAACAGTGAATTTTGAAGATGATTTAAAGAAAGCATCTCCAACTTCCAGCATGTATCAATTAATAATAGAAATAATGATAATAATAATAGGTGATGATGATGATGAATGACTTAGAAGAAAGTATTTATATAGAGACCCTCCAGACTTTAGTAAGGAAAGCATTTCTATAACCTCTCACAACTGTGCTACAGCAGTATTGATTAGACAAGGTCTCTAAGAGATGTGGGACTCCACAAGTAGACTAGACAGGCTTACCACTGACCCCAGGAGTGGCTCTCAGGGACCTGGTCAGAGGCTGGTCCATACTGCATGAACTAGAAGATCAAGAATTCCTAAACTTGGTAATGAAGGGCGTGTGTAAAGACTAAGACAAGCACACGTGCCAAAGTAGATGTAATATGAAATACGTCAACTCTGTTCCACAGAAGAGCATGGAGGACTCTTGCATGTCATGCATAGAAAGATTGCCCAGGGAGAAGGACGTGGGCCTCTGCAGAAGCCCAGTAATGAAAACTGTACAAAGCCAGGGCAGGGAAGGCAGACGGCGTTCCTGAAATGAGACATCAGGAACATGGGCAGAAATGTCCTGATGTAGTAGACCAAAGTGGAGTGGTCAGGGGACAGCATCATAGAGGGACCAGGGCTCAGATGATTTGTGATGTGTATGCAACCCAGGCTCTGACATCAGGGTGGGGTGCGTGCCCCCAAAGTGACAGAACACACAGGTTCTACAGGCAAACAGATGGTCAGTGAGTTACATGCTGCCGGAAATTGATAATTAACCATATGAGAACTGCCAGCCAGGAAAAAGATGGGCTCCTGGGCCCAGTGTCCACAACATGACCACTTCTCATAGATCCCAGAGTCCTTTCTGGGAGGAGAGAAAGGATTCAGATAAGGAGGACTCCTCACCCCACAGCAGGTGCAGCTCTTCTCCCAGGGTCACTGCTCCAACTATGCAGACATATGGCCCCTAGAGCCTGCCCTTGATGGCTAAATGGTTTGTACACAGATAGTCTCTATTAAAATGCTTATTTCTGCTCTTGTAAGTTAAAACTTCCACGGACAATATTTGAATGGTGAGTGTGGCAGGATAGATGTCCTTTATGTCATGACTGAGGACGATCTGTGACATTGTGGCGTGTATGGTAGGGGCTATGTGGAGTTCTTGGTGGTAAATCAAAGAATCACTATAGACACCCCAGAGTTGGAAAGCAAGCCTGTATAGTGACAGCACAGGCAGTCAAGGAATTTCAAAGAGGCATCTGGCATGGTCTTGGACCTTGGGAGAGAGGGGCCCTCTGGTCCTGTGATAACGGTGACTCTGCAGCCTCAGGGGTCCATCAGGAGCTGGGTCCCCCATCTACTATGATGTGAGTTTGACTGGTCCAGAACTGAGAGAAGATTCCAGAAGTAAATGGTAACAGAAACTAGTGAGTCACCTGTAAGATCATAGCCATCCTACAAGGGAGAGAGGTCTGCCTGACATAGCTGTTCTTCTCCTCCAGGTCATAGACTTAAAACCTTATCACAAAGAACCTTATCACAAAGAACGACTCAGATCAATCGTCTCCTAAACTATCACCTAAGCATCAACTCATTTATCACTTGAGTGAAGGATGCACTGGACAGCAAAGGAGAGAGCAGGGGACCACAACCCCAGGACCATCTCCTGTCATCTCAGTTCCCAGAAGCCACAGGCAGCGCAGGAAGCTTTGTTGACTGTGAAATAGGCAGCTTTGGCCGGACTTAATGAAGTGGTCTCAGGAATGGACAGTAATGTTGGGATACAGACTATCCTCTGATCTGGAGTCAGAAGACTAAGATAAAGGCCACATCTAGTCTCCTGTCCATTTGCATGTTACAGTCTGCTGCTGTCACACTCAAGGTGGAGCGGGGCTTCGATGTGGAGCTAGATATGATGTGACTTGAAAGATGCACATAGTTAGTGACCCCTTTAGAGAAAACTAGACTCACCCCAAATAGACACCACTATCTAAGGATACAAGAGCTGGAGCTTCCCTGGTGCCCACTGAGCACCTCTACAACTGTCCTGCTGTGGAAACAAGCCCTGTTCTCCTGGTTTGGGTTCTGAAGCTGAGAGGGCATGGTTTTGGCGTGATGTTTCCTCAGGCCTAAGGAAGGGAGAGTTTAAGCCCCTTTTTGGGTAAAATGGTGTGGAAGTTCTTGATGGGTAGAGCCTGGAGGAGAGCTCAATGTTTGCTCAGGAAATCAAGTGGGAAATGAAGTCTTGGTGGTGACAAGACTGAAATCCAGACCTAAGAAGTCTAAAGAAAGGGGATGCTGCAAATTAAAGCCAGTCTGGATGACAGAGTGTGATTCTCTCTCTCTCTCTCTCTCTCTTTCTGTCTCTCTCTTACACACACAAACACACACATGCACACGCACACACACACAAACAGTGTATGTACCAGTGCAAGTGTTGTGATCTCCTGGAGAATGGAAAGGGGGTTAAGTGTTGAGTGTCCAGAGAAAGCTGGAGAGGTTGTGGATCTGCAGGTTGGAGAAGGGTTAGAGAGCTTGTAGAATAGATGAAGAAGCAAACCTACTATCATGCCCTGTTCTCCTCTAGTCTGTGTATTATTCCTTTTTTTATAAATTTTTTTCATTTATTTTATACACCGACCACAGTTTCCCCTTCCTCCTCTTCTTCCATTCCTTCCACTCTTCTGTTCTATCCACTCCTCCATCTCTATTCGAAAAGGACAGGCCTATCATGGGAGTCAAGCATAGCACATCAAGTTTAGGCCAGACCAAGAACATCAAGGTTGGACTAAGCAACTCAGCATGGAGAAGTAATGTGGGATACCATTCTGAATGCTGCAAACATGTGCTGCTTTTATTGGTTGATGAGTTAAGCTGCTTTAGCCGATGGCAGGGCTGAATATAGTTATGCAGAGAAACTAAATGGAATACAAAAAGAAAGAAGGTGGGGTCGAGAGAGATGCCTGCACCTGATGGAGGAGTAAGATGTCACGGCTTACCAGTAAGCCACGGACCTTGTGGCAATACACAGATGAATGGGAATGGGTTCGTTTAAATGTAAGAGCTATCTATTGATAAGCGTGAACCATCGGCCAAGCAATTATAAGTAATATTAAGTCTCTGAATGATTATTTTATAAGTGGCTGTGGGGACTGGTGGGTGGGAGAGAAACTGGTCCAGTGGGACCAAGAAGAACACAGAAAAGCCTCCGGCTAAAGGAAATGGTCTACCAAAAGCCAGCTTAAGTATCAGGGACAGGTCCTGATCCCACTTCTAGGAGCCGCACAGTCAGACAAAGCTACGCAACTGTCACACACATGCAGGGGGCCTAGGTCAGTCCCGTGTACTCTGTCAGTGTAGAGCTGATGAGCTCCCAAGTGCTTGGGTCAGCTGTCTCTGTGGGTTCCCTTCTCATGATCTTTACCCTCCTTGTTCATACAATCCTTGCTCTCTCTTCAACAGGATTCTCAGATCTCAGCCTAGTGCTTGGGTGTGATCTCTGCATCTGCTTCAATTAGCTACTGGAGGAAGGTTCCCTGATGACAGGTAGGGGTACTCACCAATCTGATTACAGAAGAAGGCCATTTCAGGAGCCCACTCTATCATTGCTAGGAGTCTTAGCTGGGGTCATCCTTGTGGATTCCTGGGTGTTTCCCTGGCATCAGGTTTCTCTCAAACCCCAAAATGGCACCCCATCAAGAGATCTCTTTAATTAATTATTCTCCCTGTCCATCTGCTCCCAACCTGCCCAAACCAATCCCTCATGTTTCCATACTTCCATCCCAGTACCATCTCCTGTTTACCCAGGAGATCTCATCTACTTCTCCTTTGGGTCCTCCTTGTTACCTAGCTTCTCAGGGGTTGTGGTTTGTGGCCTGGTTATCTTTTACTTTACAGCTAATATCCACTTTTAAGTGAGGCCAGACCATGTTTGTCTTTCTGGGTATGGGTTACATCACTTAGGATGATTTTTTTTTCTAGTTCCATTCATTTGCCGGCAAATTTCATGATAACATTGTTTTTTACTACTGAGTAATATTCTGTTGTGTAAATGTACAGCATTTTCTTTATCTATTCTTTGGTTGTGGAGCATCTAGATTATTTCCAGGTTTTGGCTCTTATGAATGACACTGCTGTGAACATAGTCAAGCAAGTGTCCTTTGGGTATATGCCCAAGATTGGGATTACTGGGTCATGAGGTAGACTGGCTGCCAATTTTCTGAGAAACCACCCTACTGACTTACAAGGGGACTGTACAAGTTTGCACTCCCATCAGCAGTGGAGGAGTGTTCCCCTTACTCCACATTCTTTCTAGCAAAGGTTGTCATTAACTTTTTTGATCTTAGCCATTGTGACAGGCATAAGATGGAGAGCCGTTTTATTTTGTTTTATTATTTTTTATTCTTATTCCCTTGATGACTAAAGATGTTGAACAGTTCTTTTAAGTGTATCTTGGATATTTGGGATTCTTCTGTTGAGAATTCTCTGTTTAAATCTGTAACCATTTTAAAATTGGATTATTTGGTATTATGATGTCCTTTTTCTTGCATTCTTTCTGTATTTTGGAGATCAGCCCTCTGTCAGACATGGGGGTAGTAAATAAAGCCTTTTTAAAGGCTTATTTATTTATTTATTATAAATATAACATTCTGCCTCCATGTATGCCTGCATGCCAGAGGAGGGCACCAGATCTCATTACAGATGGTTGTGAGCCACCATGTGGTTGCTGGGAATTGAACTCAGGACCTCTGGAAGAGCAGTCAGTGCTCTTAATCACTGAGCCATCTCTCCAGCCCCTCTTTTCTCATTTTTAGGCTGCTGTTTTGTCTTGTTGACGGTGTCCTTTGCCTTACAGAAGCTTCTCAGTTTCAGGAAGTTTCATTTATTGATTGTCAATCTCAGTGTCTGTGCTACTGGTATTATATTCAGGAAGTGGTTTCCTGCGCCAATGCATTCAAGGATACTTCCCACTTTCTCTTCTGTTAGCTTCCTGATACCAAAAACACTGTTTGAGGGAAGATTCCATGATCTATCTGTCCATGGGATCCATGGGTTCCATTATCACATATCACATAAAGCTACTTCTCTTACAATGTCCCTGTCCTGATCTATCACCTATAAACCATGGCTATCTTATCTAGGACAACACATGATGGGCTGGAGAGATGATTCAGTGGTGAAGAGTACTGGCTGCTCTTCCTTAGGACCCAGATCATAACTCCAGTTCAGGAGATTCCAAGATGTTTCCTGACCTCCCTAGGCACAAGTGCTGCACAGACATGCACGAAGGCAAATGCCAATAGGCATAACATTAAAGTAACAACAAAACATGCAGTTTACTCAAGAACTACCTCGCTCTCAGTTACTCCAGGATTAGATAAATGGACAAGTACGTATTCTCTCCTTCACTACTGAGAGTTTAGACCTCAGGATATTCATTGGATAATCTTTAAAAAGGAGATGAAAAACACTAATAAAACTGGAGAATGTCAGATTCAGCATCATTAGGATAAAAATAATAACATCATATTTCTCTCTCTCTTAATATCTATATTTTAGAGAGTTATCGATAATGAGCAAGACAGTGTTAAGGATGTCTGAAAAAACAGATGGGGAGTTTCATTTGAAATTTTCCTTCAAAGCATTCTCAGGAACCAATCCCTGCCCTCCCCAGTGACTCCCATTACTACCTCCCCAGTCTCCTATTCTCTCACCCTCCTTTCTAGGCAGACTCTGGGGACAACACCAAAATGTTAATGACAGTAAATAGACTCCCCTTCTATTCATTTGGGACAAAGTTCAGGCTTTGTAACCAGCAGCATGATAGAGTGCTGTTCTTCTGTTCAACAACCAACATATTTTTCATAATGAATAAAAGACATTGGAGCTGGAGAACTGGCTCAGCAGTAAAGAGTACTTGTTGCTCTTGCAGATGATCTGAGTTGAACTCTCAGCACCCACTTTTGTTCCTAGAGGATCCAACAGCTTCTTCTGTCTGAGGAGTTCAAGAGCACAAACATGGTACACAGACATACATACATGCATGCAAAGTAAACATACATATAAAATAATAGGTAGGTAGGTAGATAGATAGATAGATAGATAGATAGATAGATAGATAGATAGATAGACAAACCTGTTTTGAGTTTGTTCGTTTTGGTTGATTAGATTTTTTGAGACAGGGCTAATCTGTGTAGTCCTAGCTGTCCTGGAACTAGCTCTGTAGACCAGCCTGGCCTGAAACTTACAGAGAAACACCTGTCTCTGTCTCCTGAGTGCTAGAATGAAAGGCGAGCACCACTACGTTGTGGCATAAACAAATAAATATAATAAAAAACTTAAATAATATGAAAGAGAGACAGGCAGGTTCATGCATAATTTTTTAAAGATTTATTTATTTATTTATTTATCATGTATACAGTGTTCTGTCTGTATGTGTGCCTACAGACCAGAAGAGGGCACCAGATCTCATTATAGATGGTTGTGAGCCACCATGTGGTTGCTGGGAATTGAACTCAGGACCTCTGGAAGAATAGTCAGTGCTCTTAACCTCTGAGCCACCTCTCCAGGCCTGTTCATGCATAATTTTACATGACTCAGATCCCAACACTCTTGAGGCAAATGTGGGAGGATCTCTGTGAGTTCCAGGTCAATCTGGTCTACATAGTGAGTGTCAGAGCAACAGATCCAAGGTTCTGTCTCAAAAAAAGAAAAATAAGAAAGAAAGAAAAGTGAAGTAAAAGAAAGACATGGCTAGAAATTTCTGACAGGTACATATGCTATATGAACTATGAAGATGGTAACTGAATCACCAGGCTCTGCACTAAGCAGTCTGACTCTTGTAGCAGGTCACAAAGCCTGCTACAGTGACAGGGTCAAATGACCACCATACACTTGAATACCTCTTTACAGGCTCAAAATCCTTCCTTTACAAAAGAAAAAAGGAAAGTAAAGGAAAAAAGGAAGGAAGGAAGGAAAGAAGAAAGAAAGAAAGAAAAAAAAAGAAAGAAAGAAAGAGAGGCCAATGTTGACATTCCCATTTTTCATAGGGGGAAAATCCAGGCTGAGGGAGGCCCAGTAACTAATGCAAAATGACATATTGGATCACAGAGTTCAGCTTTCTCATTCCCATTGTACTTGCTATCTACAGCCACAGTGGCTGCTCAGATGAAGACTAATAAGCATTGTCTTCAGCTCAGCGCACAGGTACTGCACTGACCACTCCAGCAGTAGTAGCTGGGGTCTCCTCTCCCTGGAACCGTGCTTGTGTTGGCACAGCCTGGTGACTCTTCCCGTCCACTGTCTCTGCAGGATCACCCACATACGCCCGAGGACTAGATCTATGAATTCTCCTAACTGCACTAATTAAGTCAGTGCACAGCAGAAAATGACAATAAACCACTGTTTACATCACTTTTATTCGGCCACTATTCAGCTTCACTTGCAATCCACACCTGACCTGCAAAAGATAACTAACTCTGCTGTAAAAAGAGGCTTGGGCCAGTGAGACGGCTCAGTGGGTAAAGGCATCTGTCATTCAGGCCTGACAACCTGAGTTCAATGCCCAGAACCCATATAAAGATGGGAAAGAAGAGGGCTGGAGAGATGGCTCAGAGGTTTAAGAGCACTGACTGTTCTTAACCTCTGAGCCAGATCTCATTACACCAGAGGTCATTACAGATAGTTGTAAGCCACCATGTGGTTTCTGGAAATTGAACTCAGGACCCCTACAAGAGCAGCCAGGACTCTTAACCTCTGAGCCACCTCTCCAGCCCAATTTGCAAACTCTTTAGTACTCAAGACAGAGGAGGCAGGAAAGCCTGCGTGGAAAGGAGAAAGAAAGATTAAAGAGTAGAAACAGAATAAATAAGAGAAAGAACTATTTAGATATTCAAACTCAGCTGTGGTTTCCCCCATCAAATGGCTGAATCCTGAAGGTAGGTCCTGGATTGTTTATTGGGGCTAAGCCAGAACCCTCCAAGATGAGCAAAGAGATCTTATTAGACAAAAGCTATACAAAACTATATATCCCTATAGAAATGTTTTTAAAAACTCACAAGTCTATACTATATCTCTAAGACATGGTATTTGGCAGAAGTAAGTAATGCCTCCTTGGATTTAATCCATAGGAGACACTTAAATGTTCATTACATGTTAATTAATTAACTCCCCTCCCCCACACTGCCATAAATTTTAGCTACAAAATTGTAGCTCATACTCCAAAGACAGTTAAAGTTCCCTGCTCTTCCCTACCATTGTATATTGATAATGGCCAACATTCATAAATGCCTTGTTCTGGTTTTCTCACTTTTTCCATTCCAAAGAAAGAAATTGCTGTCAGTAGAAAATGGGTGCTGAAATGCTAATTAGGAATCCAACAACAGCTTGTTCCTGGTGGCACAGGCCTTTAATCACAGCACTCAGGCCCAGGCAGGAGGATCTCTGTGAGTGAGAAGTCAGCCTGGTCTACAGAGAAAGAGCCAGGACAGCCAGGGCTACACAAAGAAACCGTGCTTCAAAACACAGCCTCCCACCCACCCCGCAAAAAGGAAAATATTCCAGTCATATGGATTTGGGGAGAGAGTTCACTAAAGTGGTAGCCACAAAAACATGAAGAGGAAGACTTGAGTTCAGATCCTGAGCACATCAAAAAAAAAAAAAAAAACCAAAACAAAACAAAGCAAAACAAAAAAACACCCTTCATTTACAACTTGAGCACTTAAGGTAGGGTGGCAACCTAAGGAGCCCTGTAGCTCATTGGTCAGCCAATCTATCCAATCAGTGAGCCAGATTCAGGGAGAGTTATCAGATTTAAAAAAAAAAAAAAAGATGTAGAGCAATATGGGAAGGCAAGTAACAACTTCAGCTTATCTCTGGCCTCCCCATGCCATGCATCCACAGCAGAACCATGCACACACCCTAGCACACACACACCCTAGCTCACACACACACACACCTTAGCACACACACACCCTAGCACAGTTTAATTTTTCTCAATTTTCAAGCACACTTGGTGTCTACTACTTATTTATATGTTCAAAGCAGTTCACACACTCTCTTTGATTTCCAAATGCAGTGTTCAGCATTTCTGGTATACAAGAAAAAAATTAGTTTTAACAAGTGACTCTTACCTTGAGGCGGTGATGAAAGGCAGAACCGTCTGGTGGCCTTCACAACTGCTGTGCACCCCAAGATTCTCCTAAGGAGCTAGCACTGATTTTAAAAGAGAAAAAGAAAGCAAGAAAAAAGAAATCACAGCCCTCTCCTTAAGCCTTCACATCTGTAATCTAAATTCAAATTCAACATACATCAGTCCACATAGCTCTGTGTGTTAGAATAAAGTCAACTACATGAGGCGAAATTAATTTTAATCATTCACATCATCCCCATATTCTAAATTCACACAATAAATTCCTCATTGTAAATAAGAGTACTGCTACCCAAGCACTAGGGATACTGAGTCAGGAAGATGTAAGTTCAACACCAGCCTGGGCTACACAGGTGACTCCTTCTCTCTCCTGTATGTATGACAGACAGGCAGTAGATACAGGGGTGGTTTGACACAACCTTCATTTCTCTTGTTTTTAACTTTAAAGTTCAAGATTCTTTAACAGTATACACACTAGGAAATAGGCATGTAACTCATTCATACATACACATATATGTTTTATATATACATAAATAAGTAAATTATACAAAGCATCCCCAAAATAAACTTTTACTCAGTAAATCAAAATTACATTCTTGCAACGAGAATATTTATTTTACAAATATATACATAGGCTACTGAATAACTTGTGAGTCTGAAATTACATGGATCAGAGAACAAAATGATCAGCTCATAGAAAAAGCAAATTCAAAATTTTTCACTTTTTGCAAAATTTTAAGGACATGTTTTGTTTGATTTCTCCTTAACGTTCTGAATTAAGCTACCTGATATGACTCCTTAGAGGGGGTAAATGGTGAATGATACAGACGATGGTAATTATAAAACAAATTTCTTCATCTGAGGTATGCCAATCTCAGATCTCAGAATAAAAGGATTTATTCTTTAATGTAAACAAGAAAGAGAAGAAATCACAGGACTCGAAAACTCCCACTGCATTGTTCTCTGATTCACAAAATTTTCTAGTTCTGATCAGCATGGGTTCCCATATCCAGCTGCTAACTGGGGTCGTCCAATTACTTCCAAGTCTAAAGTCATAGTTATATGTAAAGGGCAATCTATGCTCCCTGCCTGGCGAACTTAAGATGCAGTAACTACTAGAGGGCCCCCTTGGCCAGTTTTGCAGACTGGCTATTGTGCTATGCTTTAACCTTTCTGAAAAAAGGTCTCTACCCCAGTCAAAGTTTTTTTTAAACCATTGCCCAAAAAATCCCCCCCCCCCCGAACCCGGACCGAGATAGCCAGTACAAAGCCTCCACAGCTCCCCACACCAATAAAGACAACACAACCCAACCAACCATCTACGAAAACCGAAATGAGAATTTAACACACACACACACACACACACACACACACACACACACACACACCAACATACAGACACACCTGGTTTTTGTTTCTCGGCTCAGTTAACTTAGAACAATTTTTTAAAATCTATTTTTGTTCCTGTGCACTTTATTTCTCAAATGCATATTCCTGACTGTGGTCCTGAGGTGGCAAAGGAGCCGGCTAAGGTATGCTGAAGGCGGGGGTGGGGGGTGTTGGGGGTGGGGATTGGGGAAGGGCCTTGCAAAGGGCATCGAAGGAAGTTGCATAAGGAAAGAGACTCCGTTTTCCGCCCCACTCCCACCTACCCCCCAAAAAAATGAAATTAAAAAGAAATCAGAGGAGAAAGAGGAGGAAAAGGAAACTGGGCAGTTTTCTGCAGGACAGAGAAGGGAAACAGAAGCGACGTTTACCTTCGTGTTCCCCGTGGAAAAGTGGGACAAGAGCCCTGACCCATACGACCTGGCAGTGCGACTCAATCTCTCACCCCGGCTATTAAGGAGCAGGAGCGCAGACGGACAGAACAAATAGACAAATACCTTTGCCTCCTGATGGCTGGCGCAGAACAAACCTCTGGGCGGGTCAACTTTCTCTCTGGGCCCAGCAGTGGGCCGCGATCGCGGGGTTCGGACCCCAAACACCCTCCCTTCCTTTTTTCGTCTTTTTTTTTTTCCCACCCCAGAAGGCGATCAAGTTTTCCCTCCTCCAGCCCGACCCTCTGCCCACTGCTCCCTCAAGTTTGCCTCCTCCTCTAATCGGCGGCTGGCGGGGAGCGCTGGTGCCTGGGCTCCTGTTCTTCCAAATCCTCCCCTCGCCCCCTCCTCCCCGGCTCGTCCTACGGGCGTCAACTTCCCCGCCCCCTCTGCCGCTGGCTTCTCCTGTGAGCTCGTGCACGGGAGAACAGCTCGGCCCGCCGCCGCTGCGCGGCGCGAGAGCGCGAACCGGACCACTCCCTCCTCCCCGAGGGAACCCCGATGCAGGGCCTGCGCCGGCCACACTCCCTTAAAAAGCACTAAAAAGCACTTTCCTGCCTCCGGTAGGGGAAAAAAAAAAAACCAAAAAACAACTTCACAGGACCGCTTTCTTTCTTCTTTAGTTCCTTCGTTCTTTCCTTCCTTTCTTCCTTCCTTCCTTTCTTTCTTTTTTCCCCGTGTAACTTTCCCTAAATGGCATAAATTGGAGGCGATCTGTAGAAAATTCTCCCACAGTCGGCGGCAGCGATGAGCGCGGGCGGAGGCGAGCAGGGAGAGCAAAGGCAAACTCTCGCCGCACTCCGCCGCGCCAGCGAGAGAGCTTCTGATAAGTTCTCCGCACCCGAGCCTGGAAGCAAATGCTCCGGCCTCTTTCCCAGTGCTTTGGTCTCCGGTACCTGAATTTTCCCCCGCTCGATCACTCGCTCACTTTCCTGGTGCCAGTCCGGCGTGGTGGCCACAGGTGCTGAGGGGCAGCAGGGGCGCCGCTACGGGGTTCGCGTCACCTCTCCTCTGACGCAGCGTCCCCTCCCATAGTCGCCGCCCCGTACCTGCTGTCAAAAGAGCAGTCTAAGTGGCTCGCTCAGAGTGGGCGGGTTACACATCCTGCAGCCTGTGCACCTGTGACAGCAGCTCCCTTCCGCACGACCCCACACACCCTTGCAGTGTGTGCACAAAAAGAGAAAAAATTTAAGTCTATTCTCCTCCCCCCATTTTTCCCTTTCTCTTTTCTCTCTTTTCTTCCGCTTTTGCATTCACTACTTCAGCATGAGATGCTCACAGACTCCCCCACCAGTCGCTTCCAAGTCATTTGCCTACTCCATAACCCCCGTTAAGGTTTCCCCTCTTTCCCTGATCACTTTCCCAAGATGAGGGTGAACTTCCTTCCCTCTCTAGTTCTTGAAACTTTCATCCTACCCAGATAAATATATGAATGGCTTTGGCTCCAGCCTGAGCTGCGCATTAATTAGATTCCATCAGCCACTTCTTGCCCCCAAATTTTCTCTTTTATTTTTCTCTGTCTCAGGCATTACCTAACAAATGGTCCAGGGCTGCAGGCACAGTGCTCAAATCAGGACTGGGGAGAGGGGGAACTGCGCTGGTTTTGTTCAATTAAAGATCCATCCCACAAGGCAATAGGACACCCTGAGTATTCCAGACAAGGCAATGGTTTCTAATCAAACTTTCCCCTGGATTATTGTGTACAGATCCCTCTGTGCTTGTTGCATGGAAAGATTTAACAGTCTTTCTGTTTCTTATACTGAAACTTTCAAATGATAGCTCCGCTTCTTCGTTGATAATTTCTGCTTATCTGACACCAGGCTTCTGATAGGGGTCAGTTTATTAAGTACAAGGAATCCTAAATCGCCCTTGGCCTTTTCTAATTGCAGATTTCAGCTCTTCTGCCCTGCCATCATCAAGCATTACCATCTTCTTATCATTAAAAGTCCTTTCACTAATATTATGTCTAAATTGACCTGAGGATGTTTACGGGGATTTGTTTTTCTCCTTCCTTTCTTTCCCCCTCAGATAATTCTTTTACAAAGACCAAAAGCCTGGGACTCTTTTTATCTGCTGGGGAAGGGAGGAGGCAGACTTGCCAAGATGACAGCAGGCATTCTCCATGTGGGTTTTGCACTCTTGCAGACAGACAGGTGCTTTATGAGGATTGTGACTTGCACTGCACCACAACTGGCAGCAGTGCTGGTGGCATATTTCCATCTCATGCATGCTCACGGTTAATGACATGTTGAGAAGAAAGTTGGTGGGAAAGTATTGTTTTGGGTAGTTTTCTGCTTTCTGCAACTCTTGATTGCTCCCAATCCTTAGGGACAAGTAACTAGGTCTGAGCAAGGAGCAATGTCTCAAGCATGCTGTGATGACCCTCCTCCCAAGGAGCCTGGCTTTCCTCAGTCTAGTTACTTCTGGCAATTGTGGTTATTGAGATTTGGCCTAATGACTCATTGCAACCCAAATTTTTCCAAAGAATCCCCTTAACAAGCACAATGAGCTCTGACAGCAAGCCCAGACTTCCATCTGGTTTTTACACGGAGTTTTCCCTAATTTATGGTAAGATTTGAAAATTCTGTATGGGCTTTAAAAGATAATAAAGGAGAGTTAGTGAGACAACTGCTCAGAGAAGAGCAGGGTAGGAGAAAAATTAAAGTATTTTTGAACTAATGATCTGCCCTAAACTTAATCCATTTGATAGAGTTAAATCCCCCCATGCTATTTATAGTAGTCTTACTGATCACCAGTAGTCAAGCTAAGCTAGTTGGGAATTGTAGACACTTGTAAAATCATAAAAGAAATTTTAAAAGAAAGGAATGTTTACATCTTGTTAGGCAGTTGCCTCCCCATTAAGGTTTTCCTGACAACAAGGAGGACACCGGGCACATCACAAATCATCTGGTAAGACATTATAAAACAAACAAACAAAAAAACAACAAAAAACCCCAGCTATTTATTATTAAGCAGTTTTGAAAAACAAAGTTTGAGCATGGCTTGCACCCCATTTTACTTCCACAGTTGCACTGCTCCCTCCCTGGCCACCACAGCAGTGCAGTCCCCTTCCCCTGAGAACTATCCTGCAGAGATCCAGCACACTCCCCTGCCCATGCCTTCCTGTGTGTACTTTGCTCTCTCTTTAGAATGAAGTGATTGATTCTCTTTCAGACAGCCCTGCTTGCTCAGCTCAGTGCCATGAGTTTATCAATTTCCTATTGAGAAATCAGACCCTGCAGTGAGAGGGCTTTCTGCTGTTTAGATGATACACATCTCCTCCCTTATCACACCACACAGATGATACATCATATCTCATCCCTTATCACACCACACAGGTTTATTTTGTCCATCTAATTCTTATAAAGCTGGCATAGTTTTCAACGGTTGCTTATCTCTAATGCATATCCTTGAATTAGGGATCTGAAAATATAGCCCTCTCAGGTCTGCATTAGTATCCCCAGGACAAGTTTTAAAACTGAGACTATGTAGTCCCTGTCTCCAGAGATGGCATCATCGGGGCTAGTTGTTTTTTATTGTTAAAGCTCTCCAGGTGATTCTAGTATGAACTCAGCATCTCTCCGTATGAAGGCCCTTAAAGCAAAAATTCAGAATGAAAGTTATTATTAATGGCCTTGATGAGAGTAATATAAATAAGAGACTTTATGAAATATCATAAATATAACTTCCTGGATAACAAAAATCTAGTCAGGGAAATGCCAATTGTGATTGTAAATTCTATCCAAGGGTTTTGACATTAAACTACAGAATTACAGCTTTGCCCACATCTTCATGCCTAAATAAATCTTGTCTTGGATATATAAGACATAAATTGGGAAGACGGATTTTATAATACATCAAATAAACCATCTGATTTTATTGCTTGTGGTTTAAAGATGATGGGCAGCTTAGGTTAGAAACTGCCTATAGGGAAGGTTGAGGAGAGAGGACAAAGGAGAGTGGTGAGCTGGAGAACACAAGGAGTGAGAAGAGCCAGTAGGAAGGAAAGGAAGAGAAAGACTAAGGTGGAGTGTGAGAGCACAATGACTCAGGGACCAAGCTCCAGAGTGAAAAGAAGGTGAATCTTGAAAGGCCTGGACTTTGAAGTTAAACTTGAATGGCCATCTAGGAACGGAATATCATCTCTGTGCTAACAGAATAAACAATAAATAATAATAAACAAATAAAATGAAACTCCACATTACTTCTAGGATGGGTGTGCTGAATGGGATCTTATTGGGAACACACCAAATAAAGTGTTACTTCTGAGAGGCGAGAAGATAATTACGGATTATTGTTACTATAATATTCTCTTTAAAAGACAAATGCAAATGCTAAAGTAAAATACAGAGAATGCTACCGTGACCTGAGAGCCGCGAAGCTCTACTTTCATATGAGGCATTTAACATACTTGGAAATATCATTCTCTCGCCTCTCTGTCGAAATGACACTTGTTCTGTGTATGTGACAACACTTGTCAAGGTGATCATACTCATACCTGTAAGGTTCCATTGTAGCTGTCAAATGCAGCAATCCTTCTCTTATTTGACTAAATATGTGTCAGGGAGGTGGTTTTCTAAAATAAGTAGCTCTTAGATTCTGTTACTTTACAATGTGTGGTCATGGTTTTATTATGTAGTAATAAAATGCGGGCCTTTTCACCACTCATTTTCAGGAATGTATTTTCTGTTGGGATATAATTACAAATATGCTTCTGAGCATATTTCTAGAAACAGTTTTGGGGAGGGAATATACAGCCTACTTTACTGCATATTAATTTTATAAAGGTGTTCAAAAGTAAGATAAATCTAACTCATTCTTCTGTCAAGTCCTTTAAATACTGGGGAAAATATACTCTCTTTGCATTGAAGCCTCAAAATGAATAGATGGAACCAATAACAAACCTTGGACCTGACTATTATGATAGCTGGTTAAAGACCGATTGGATGTTGCACAATGCAGATGAAGTAACTGCATGCCTTCCAATTTCATCCTCTCCTGAGATGAGCACCCTTCCACTGAGAAATCTACTTGAAAGTGGCAAAGCCCTAGATAGATGCTAGGTCCAAGTACAGTGGTTCAAGGCCATTCAACATCTCACAGGAATGTGTCTTCCATTACTAGAAAGTTTTTCAAGTCTCCTTATGATCAGTGGCAAAGTAACACGTTCCACACATAGTAGAACCTCTAAGCCTAATTGTCAGCTACACAGTTTGGCAACTTAGAACTATCATTCGTGACACCCGCAACTATGCTCTTACGTAACAGTAAGTACTATAACCAGGAAATTCCTGTTGAAAATAATACATTAAAGCATTTAACATGAACTAAATGATTTAATGTAATCACGCTGACACTGCATGAATAAACACTTTTATAAATAAAGGAAGTCATTCCTGGTTTTTTAAAAATCTCCTATGTCCAGCTATCCTTCCTTCCTTCCTTCCTTCTTTCTTTCCTTTCTCCCTCCCTCCTTCCCTCCCCACTCTCTCTTTTCTATAGTGACACTCCTGTCCTTCACTGCAGCCCTTGTTCCTCTCTGAAATTGGAGTTCAAGTCCTAAGTGTCCTCCAAGCTCCTCAAACTAAAGATAACTCAAAAGTAAAATACTTTTTTTTAACCAAACCCACTTGTCTCATTCTTGTCTTTGCTTGTGTCTATTATTTTTGTAATTACCAACATCTGAATCCTAATGCTCCTAAATTGATGTCAAATATGGTCTTGCTTCCTTGTCTTCTTTATACTCAATGAAGAACCAAGGGCTATTGGTTTCATCAGCATGAGTCATCTGCTTTATTCTCACCATGCAATGTCATAGTTTGGGCCTTTTGTTCCTAATGTGGTTATCAGATTTCACTTTTTCGTACTTCCACAGGGCACACTTTTTAAAAAAATGACTCAACCCTCTTATCTTACCACAGAGAAAATGCTGTCTACTATGGTAACAAGGGTTTGTATGGGTCCTGTAAATACTAGTAACCATGCTGGGTCATGAATGGAGATCTTTAGCTCTCATTCCACTCTTCCTAATTCCCATTGGGGATTCTCTCTTTTCAGGTCTCAGTCTTTATCACAAACTTATGAAACTTGTTTGTTACCAAATCATTAAAGATCAGATGCAACACTATATAAATCAGTGCCTTGAAGAGTTAGGCAATATTCTGCATATAATGCAGACAGTTGTAATTATCCATGTGTATGATTGAATCTGCTCTTTGGTCCCACTCAGCTGTTTCCATTACTCTCCAGAGAACTGTAGTGGTGATAAATGGTACCTACATCACTTACAGACCTTGTGATCAAGGCAGAGACGGACCTTAGAAGGTAAGAGGCACTGTCAGTGGATGTTCTGTGAATGAGCACTGTCCATGTACAAAATGATTTCAGATACTTTATTTAAGTGTTGCCTTGTTGGAAATTTTCAGGCGGAAAAATGGGAATCTTAGCATTCAGTGACACCAAGACATTTAGCATTCTTGTCAAACTATAGCCCTTGATAATGGAACACTCCATTGTTTTTAGCACTTCTTAATGAATATTACCATTAGAGTGCTAGTATGCTTCTGAATTAAAAGATGTGATTGGGTACACTACACAAACAATTCTCCAGTATCTTCCACAACTTTCTATTTATACTTCATGTATATTATTAAGATTATTGTAAAGTATTTAAAATCTCTAGGTGACTCAATAAAAGGTAATTTCCAAGATGACTTGTTCATTGCAATCTTTAAAAAGCTGCAGCAATCTGTCTGTATTTTCTCACAAGGTCAAAAGCAGGACAAAATCCACCAAGTTATGAGTCAAGATATTTTAAATTGTTTTGGAAATAACACCAGTGTACAACAAATATAAGAGGGGACCTTCTTCGCTAAGTCAAACACACTAAGAGGGGACCTTCTTCGCTAAGTCAAACACAATTCCAACACATTATTATGACTGGCTCTTGATATATTCCCAGAACTTTTGGAAATTTTCCTAATTGCAACCAAAGTTGATTCTTACATTTCAGGAAACACAATAACCACTCCGGTGCTATTTTAGGAATTCACTGAAAGTTGAGAATGGTATTTTACTGACTGGGAATAGGTGTATGAATCAGAAAAGTGCTCAAGTTGAGTGCTTTAAGACAAGATAAAGAGAAAAAGGTAGTAAATTAGAATATCTGTAATAATTGTATTTTTTAAAGTTCATTTTCGTAATTTCAGAGTAATATGTCAATATTACTTTATGCACAGTTCTGAAATGCTTTATCATGAAGGATTAACAATTAGACATTTAACTAGAAAATCATTTAGTAGCAACCTAGAGATCCCTACCCAGATTCAAATCATCTAAAAGGATCAAATGCCTAATAAAGTCACTTTGTAGTAAAATCAAATTTTGCTGCATGTTGTAATTTCAATTCATTGCTTTCTGGAGACCTAATTTGTAGAACATTAAAAACCATAGAATTCTTTAATGGAGAAATGGCTCAGTAAAGCCTATCTAGTTACAAGCTTAACTGCTGCTCACAGTGCTGTTCAAAGGACTATTGAAATGTTCGTGGTACACCCTTTTCACTTGCTCTTATATCTGCAATGCTTAGAGTGACAGGGGTTAAAATGACAGTATTTCAAATTACCATTTTTCAAGTGCTTAGGAAAATCTCTCTACTGAAGCAGTAAACACAGATTTAAATTAGAGTAGCAACAAGGTATTATAGGAAACAACCTTTCTAGTTCAAAGATGGCTCCCTTAGAATTTATGAAGTTAAATGCATTTTGTTTCTATTTTTGTGTTGCCACCACTTCCTAGGAAATTGTATTTATCTTTGATTTTCATTCATACTATGATGTGCCTTAGATGCACTTTCTCCAACAGATTTTGCTCATATCTCTGTCCAGCTATTTTTCTCAAAACTGAGGCATATAGTTGACGAATGTAGTCCAGTGAGGAAAAAATGTGTTGTTCCCAACTTCCAAATGAAACATTCAAATTAACATCTTAAAATAACAGTGCATTCTTCTTTCATCTGTTAACTTGTCTTCCAGGACCAGCAGTAAAATCACCAAGAGTAAATCAGAACCTTACACCATAAGTCAGCATTTGCTACACTGTCATAAATGGTGATCAATATATTCCAGTAAGTATATTATCAATGTAATTATTTTTATTGTATTCTTGCTTCTTTTTCATGCTTTTTCTAAAGAGTGTAGTAACTGTTTTTTAATTGTTAGACATATAATGAATTTCTAAAACATGCCTGGTGTATAGTGTGAAACACTAAGAAGAAATAATAGATGTTCATATTTGAAGAGCATCTTAGTCCCTGATGCCCTGCTTCAGACAGTAACCCTCTGGGACAATATCATCCTATAGAGCCCTTTGGATAATCAAATAATGTTGAGAAAGTTTGGTGTGCAATTATTTGACATTTGTCCACGTTGTAGCAATACTTATCAAGACTATGCTATTTGAGCAGAAGAGCTTATTCTCTAAACATATTGAGAAAATGGCAATCTGGAGATCATAAAATTAATTATTCTAAAAGTCTGATATCCTCTCTATGGCAGGGTCAGAACACAGGCACGAAGGTAACTGGAATTCCAAACCTCCGGAGTTCCTCTCCATTCAGACCCCAGAGCATGGGACATGGGGCAACTCTGCAGAACTTCATGGAAGCCTCAGCAACCCGCACTACTCTACTCCACTCTACTCCATGATATTTGCACATCATGGAAAGCTGCAGCTCAGGCACTTGCTCACTACCACCCCCTCCAAGATATGCCCCATGATGCTTACCTTGACTACCTTAAAGCAGCCTGAGGGCCCAGCCAAAGCTCCCCTGAGCCAGGTGGCAACTTGTGGTGTGCTGGCCTTGCGCTTTGGGCCAGTATCAAGCCACCCGAAGGCTGGAGGGCGTCACAGCTGCCTGGGACTCTAGGCCTCCCTTGGAGTCTCAAAAGGAAAGCACACATCCCTAAAGCAAGAAAGGGACGTTTCTGGATCCCCAATTACAAGGGGGCGGGAGCCAGGCTAGTGCCAGGTGCACAGACTCCAGCTCTGGCTTGAGAAGCAGAGCCCGTGCACGAACTGTTATTTCCTATGGGAGGCATAGGATGGAGACAGGAAGGACTATTTCCTCTGGCAGGCGAGGAGACCCCAGGTGAATGCCATGGAAGGGAGCAAACGCTTAACCCAAACCAAAACAACAACAGCAACAAAAATAAAAACAAAATAAAAACCCCTAACCCAAAAGCAAACCCTGCACTTACTTCTTCACTGGCGCTATCTCTGGGAGGCGTTTTGGCTGTCAATGTAGTCCATAAAATTCAAAATGATAAAAAAAATCAAGAAATTAGTTGCAAATGCATAGTAACTCAGTGATGTTACCCTTCTTTCGTTTTTCTTTTGACTGTTAGTTATATTAAGTGTTTTTTGTTGTTTTTTTTTTTTTTTAAAAAATATGTACCTAGGTTTTAGGCGTGTCTGTATGGAGCACTGAAGAACCAGAGGAGCCGGACATCACTGAGATCAAACAGGCGTGATAGAAAGCGAAATTGGGCGGGTGGGCAGGGAAACCAAAAACTGCGGTCTCAAATTGTCAGAATACAGCCTGCTCTGAGGTGGCTGTCGTCGACGAGTGCAGGAGACTTCCAGCTGGCTGGCGGCCGGCCGGTTAGCCTTGACTGCGCAGGGCGTTGGGCGGGATCCCCGAGAGCAGTGAACCCTGGAGCTCAGAGGCAGCGGCGGCTCCTGCAGAGTCTCGAAACCTGGGAGTGCCGGGGAGCGCTGGAGATACCCGAGCTGCTTCTGGCGTTCCCGAATAGGAGTCGCCCCAGTGTCGGGCAGTACTGGGAGCACCTCATTCGGGAGGTGGAGGAGAGTAGGGGAGAGGGGGGATAGCTGCGGGGGGGGGGGCGGAGGAGCTCGGAGAAACTGCAACGACCCCAAGCGACCTCAGTAACTTTCAATTTCAAGAGGGAAAGAGGGAGCTGGAAAAGATTTGGCAGAGGGACGGGAATAGGCGCCTAAGGGGTCCTGGATCTGTGCTGGAGCATCTCTGGACACAGCAAGGGGAGGCCCTCGGAGAGATAATTCTGACCGGGTGAGGTGGGTGCACTGGGACTGGGTGCACTGAGGTTTCTGATCCAGCTGTCCTAAGTACCCCAGGTCCCAATGGTTCTGTTGTCCCCGACCTCTGGTAGGGTGCTCCACGTCGCAGTCACCCAGTCCCTTGGCTTTTCAGACACCCCTCCTCACTCCAGCAACAGGTCCTGGGCAATCCGCCTTGCCTCTCTTCCATTGGACGCTTGTTTCCTGGGTTTTCTGGTCACAGATTCCTCTCAAGCTCTCCTTAGTCTGTGGCGGTTTCTCTCTGTTCTTGTCTCCCTGCCCTCCTTCCCCACTCCCCAATGAGAGTAGCTGTGATTAGGTGCTGGGCAGGTGATCCCAAGAGGTGGTTAGGTGGGCTTTATCCGTCATCTTGAAGGTGATTTTCCTGATCCCAAGGGGAGGAGCCAGAGGTGTGTGCTTTGGGGACCTTTTGAATGGAAAAACTATCCTGTTGAGGCTGCATTCCAAATCCAGCCTTTGCCTTGGTTCAAAAAGATTCCTCCTCCTCTCAGGCACTTCCCCCTGTGTTCAGCTCACCTGTTAGGCGCTCTCTCTTGTCTCTTAATGTTCTTGAGAGGATCTTTGTACATCTAGTAGTCTAGGAACACTATGTGGAAAGACAGTCCCCATTTGGGAAGAATTCAAAAAGGTCCATTTCTTGCTCCCCTTTCCAGCACAAGTCGGGTGGGGGTGGAGGACTCATGGCAGTAGCAGGGAAAACCAGGTTCCCAGGCCAACACAGCACTGGGGAAGAGTCAGGGCCCTGAGGTGCTATCCACTGTTGAAGTCCTGGTCTTCTCCAGAAGCACAAACCCATAAACTCTTCTGTCCTTATGTATTTCGTTGAAGGTTACAAACCTCAAGGCATTTTTAATGTAAACCTGCCCTGAGAGTACTTAATAGTATTCCGAAGGGTTCTGCAGTGCCAAAGCTTTATGCAAGGCTGGATGGCAAGCAGACCACTTTGAAAAAAAAGTAAGATAGATGTACAGGGTTGCCCTCTATTTATCTGCCCATAAATAAGAGGAGAAGCAAAGGCCCCTACCCGTCCCATTTTGTAATCTTTCAAAACACCCCAGGTTACTGATCTCCTGAATCTTTATACCTGTACATTTCTTATATGCCCCAAAATTGGGATTGAAGAGACGAAATGGCCTGGACACAAAAGTCAGGGAACTTCAAACAGGCATTCTTTGCAAGGCTTTAAAATACAACATATGGGAAACTGACTTTTTTTTCTGCTAAATCTTTATTAAATGTCTATTATTTTGCCTACTTGTATTTGAAATTTGAAAGCAGGCCGAATATGCTGCATGTTTGATATTTGAGAAAACAGTAATCTTGTCAGGAGTATAATTTTTTAAAAGTTATTTTTAAGAATTCCTATACCACACAGTTCCTTTTTCTGAGGTAAACCTTTTTTTTTTTCCTGAACATCCCACAAGTAGCAGGAGCTGCCTGAGATCATGAGATACACAACACACACACACACACACACACACACACACACACACACATTGTGGTGGGAGCAGGCACACTGCATCAGTTGTATAATGTCTACTGGTAATTGATAGTTTTCTCTGAACTAGAAAAGACACAGGTGACCATGCGATTCCAATAATGATTATCTTGTAAAGAAGCCACCCTTGTAAATAAGCCACCATATTCCTTTGTCTATCCCCATCAGCTTTTTGTTCTTTCTTGCTTAATACCCCAGATTCAGAATATCTGCATCATAAAATGTGGAGGACTTAAAAGCTATGTGAGGCTCCTTTTGCACAGGACTCCAGAGACTGCCTTTCTAATCCAGGATACTTGAGCAAGATGGAATGAGATTGCAAAAGGCATATGAAAAAGCAATTTGGTGAAAAGTTCAGGGAACTAGGCAGGCAGAAAGACACTCACTTCTCACCATCTGCTCTGCAGACATATGTTCCTGAGGATGAGAACAGGAATGGCAGTGGAAGTGAATAAACAAACCCAGTGGCTTCTTGAGCCATCCCAGAAAAGAAGTGTTAGAGTCAGTGGGCAGGAAAAGCTTGTGAAGGAACAAGCACCATTCAGAGGAAACACAAGGAAAACATTAAATAAGTGGGGAGAGCATTCTTTCTTTCTTGACACTAGACTTTAGAATAACTTTTTTTTTCTTTTTTGTCCACATTACCTTAGTATTAAAAGTGTGTTTACTTGCTTGACTGAGTCTGACATTTCCCCACCTGTCCCAGAAGCGTGCAGAAGGCATGCTGTGGACTATTTTGTGCAATAAAGTACCCACTTTTCCAATTCAGTAAAAAAACAATGCTCATAGAAATTGGCAGTACCTCTCAGAGCTCCAGACCAAAGCATGTTAAAAGCCATGGGTGCAGCACAGTCTATCAATGCTTTGATAAAGATCTGCCTGCTGGTGTGTCTCAGGAGACTGGAAAGGACTGCTAAGACTGTGAAGACTGCAAGTAGTGCCCACTCCTGAACACTAGGATGCAAAACTAAGAGCGTTATAGCACTTTTGTATCTTAACCATATCTTCCCAAAGTTAACAAAATTGCTACTATAATTTATATTTGTTAGTAATGATTATATAAAATTATTTTGATCCGTCATGACCATTTCCAAATGGCTGCTAGAGGAAACCTTCAACGTGGACAGTTATGCTCAACTGAATGCTAATATCTATACTACATTCTAATTTAGGAATGGCCCCAGCTACCAAAAAAGACTTTACCTAATCATCTTGAAATTGATGTACTCTCATTTCCTGAAAGTTATCTTGTCCTATAATTACTCTTTCTCTTGAGTTATACTGTTCATCCTGTGAACAGTAGGGCAAACGTCAGCTAGACTATGGTCTCATTGCTTTGGCTTGAGTTTCAAAGCTCCTTTTTGTGGATTTCTAGTAATAATAGTCTCATCATGGATGTCTTTAGTGATTTCTATAGTCACATTTCATAGATACATATACATTCATATATACATATGTATGCACACACAACACACACATATAGATAGATAAATAGGTACAAACTAAGTTGTCTAAATATGTAATTTCACTGAAAAGCACAGGGCAGTGAGGATTCAGGACTTCAAAGATATCATTGTTAGATAAGAGAAGAAGGAGAGAATGATTTCAGGTCTGGAGGGAGAGAGCAGAATGTAGAACAAAGAAGACAGTTCCAAGTCTCTTGACATTTGATCCTTTGTGTTTAACTTCTCTCAGGAGTCAGGAATTGCTGTGTCCAAGAAGAACTTGGAATCAGAGGTCAGAAGACACTCTGAAACGTACTCCTGTGCTCTTGGGAATTTATAGATTTTTCAGGCAAAGGGTTTCTGCAGACACATCTTATTTACATGAAAATGTGAGACGAGGCCTCGGGGCTCTCCCTGTTACACTGGCCTGAGAGCATCTCTGGCCTCTACAGAGCCTGGGAGCATAGTGCTGCCTCTGGTAAGCTGGCAGTTACTGTTTTCTGGATCCTTAGAGTTCACATTTCCTGACACTTCCTTAGGCCTGGGGCATAAATTGAGAAGAAATGACAACAAAATTGACATTAATTCCTTAAATAAACACATGTGGGAGCCAGGATTTTATCTACTACATTCTATCATTAGGGTTGCTGTGGTCATGGCAACACATAGGAAGCCGTCATCAGATGGAGAACCAGATTGGGCAAAATGTGGGTAAGAAGCATAGTTATGTGGTCATCGAACTGCTGATATTTCCCTTGTTAGATCCGGAGTCCCTCATTCAGAATGTCCATCACATATAAGCTCATCACATATAAGATATGTGCAGAATGTCAGTAAATAAAACTTTAAAAATGCGAAATGATAATTTAAAGAATAAATTCCCATTGACAAATGAGGAAGAATGAATTAAAGGTAGAGCCATTGAGTTCTTTGAAATAAAATAGAGCCATTGTTGCTAAATTACCTGGTATTAGAAAGTTCAATGATCCAATTTCTTTTATGTCTAGCTTGCTTTTGCCTTTGCTATTGCTTTTATTTGTTCCTATTCTTACAATGTTTTGAGATTACATCTCCTATAGCCAGGACTAGCCACGAACTCCTCTATAGCCAAGACTAGCAATGAACTCCCCTATATTCCATGAATTCCCCTATATCCAAGGCTAGTCATGAACTGATTCTCCTGCTTCATTCTTGCCACCACTAAGCTCTGAGAGTATCGATTTGTGCTACCACGGCTAGCCTGTCTATCATTAAATAATTATTTTATGTCGTCTTGCAGTTTTCTTCACTATAATGAAATACT